GATCGATTGGTAGTAACAGGTGTAAGTAATTCAGTAATAGTTCTACCATGAAACTCGGGAGTAGTAGAGATAAACGATCCCATCAGGAATTGAACCAACACCATTTAGGCCTATGGATGGTGGGACCAAAACATCAAACTATTAAGATAGAATTCAAAGATGACTTGTGTAGAGTTATTTAATAGAGTGAAGCGGTAGTTTTGTGTTCAAAGAATTGTAAACAAGCAAAGTGCAAATCGAAAATCTGATTCACAAACTTTGTTAAAGAACACATTAATAATATTACGAGGCATTGCACAATGAAAGTATTCACTCAGAACCAACTACGTAAACGCGAATTTTTTTCACATGAGGAAATCTTTCAGTAAAAGAATATTTAACTGTGTTCAAAATTACCTCCTCCGTATTTCTTATAATAACCAATAGTGATCGTAGTTTTTATGAATCCTTACCCTATACAGAAGCCTGTGAATCAGTAGGCTTCAACATGCACAAAGGAAAAACCAAGATCCTGTAATACAACTCGGAGAAAACTAACCCAATCACAAGGATATATGGAACTCAAAACGACTATCTGCCAGACAACATCAAAGTCAGAATTTTCAATAAGAACGCTAGGACAGTCCTACTACATGAGGAACTGGAACTTGGAGAACTACTACAAACATCAGTGAAAAAGCACAATTATTTTTAAACAATCGTCTTCGACGATACTCAATATCCGTTAACTAGACATCATGAGCAACAATATACTATTGAGGAGAAGGCAAAATAGGTTCCATCTGAAGAGGAAATCAGGAAAAAAAAACAATAGAAGTAGATAGGACTTCCGTTGCGGAAATCACCAAACTTCATCACGAGGCAAGCGTTAGCTTGGAATTTTGAAGAGAAACGGAAAGGAGAAGACCAAGGTATACATTGAGCCAGGATTAGAAGCAAACATTACAAGAATGAATAGTAACTGGGAAGGATTGTCTAGGACAGAGGAGGAGAATGCTGCTGAATGGACTATGCTCCTCCACGACGGGTAACAGGTGTATGTCAGTAAGTATCGTATACAGAGGTGATAGTGGTCTATTCAAACTTTCACGTTATCATTTTTCTAAATCTTTGCATTCATAGATTTTTCTGTTTTACGTTGTGTTTTTTTAATTAAATAATTTTGTTTACCGAACGCGGTTACCTACACAGTTTTATGAAACATGTACAACTTATTACAAAGATATTTGATGATAAATAACTTAGTAATTATCAGAATGACCTTTCATCTATTTTTTTAAACAGTTACTAAGGTTACATGTCAATTATCAATAATAATGAATATTAAGCTAAAATCCTATAATAATACAGATGATTGATACTATACTGTCCGAAATTTCTTTTCTCATATGATCCTTTTATGATGATAAATATAGATTAAATTATGTGAGGGCAGTCCACGAGTGAACTCGAGAAAGCTCTAAGTCCAGAAAGAGACGAAGATACTTCATCCAATCATCTTTTGGAAGAATATTCTAGAATCCCAACGTGTAGCTTCCCTATTGGAAAAATATTAATAAACCCCTGTAGGAGGATTGGAGGAATATAATAATGATTTCGCTTTACTAAAAACGATAATTACCTCACAGTTTTGTACCATAATTGATACTATTTGGTATAGCATTCCTTCTCAATTGTGACTTGAAGAGTTTTAGCGTTCGAGTGCTCAAATTGTACGCGGTGTATCAAGTGTCTAAGCTCTAGATAGAACAAAATATGCTATGATTCATATGCTAAAACAATAATTTAACTACAGATTAGTGATAAATACTACAAGAAGAAAACAGGAACAATATGATGTCCAATTTTTATTAAATTGAACATTATGTGTAAGAGGTGTAGTATTAAATGGTTGGGAATAGTTAGCAGGTAACCTTGGACCTATGTTTCTGGTTAGATGACATTTTTTAGGAGCTATTCGGATCACTATTAACCTTCTACGTGATTGAAATAGTTAGAATTGATAAGTTAATAGTTAGGAACTAATGTCATAGGCAGAACGGATTGAACAATAAGGGCTAGACAAACACAAATCTGTTGTAAATATCTTACTCATCAGATTAAACTGTGAGGCTGAGTTATACGGTCCCAAGCCTTAAAGTGTACAACAGTTCTATCAAGATGATGAAAGGTGACTAGAACGATGCCTATGCTAGAGTTCTGTATCGACTACTTCCAACCAACTAACAAGTTATTCTTATTAGTAAACAGAAAAATATCTTGTTATTACATCTAAATACATTTTACTAAAAAGAATTATCGTTTCCATCATTTCTTTCAGAATTTATGCAATGTATTTCGAAAAAAAAACCTGGAAAATCGCTCCAACGTATCTGTTTGAAGAGTGGAAAATGATCTGTATAAAATGTTTCCCTAGTTTCTATGACTACACAAATAAAGCATTAAGCTGTAGGCCTAAAAATCTCCGAATGTCCACGCAACTGATTATTATCCTGAGCAGTGAAAATAATTGTTAAACTCAACTTTATAATACACGAAACCTATGGCGTCACAAGTTGGAAACTATTGACTTATATAATGTTTATGAACTGAACTTATACCATAATGATTGACACAAACAAAGAATCATCCCAGTTTAATTAACTGATAAGAGTCTACTAAGGTAACATACAAGATTCATTAGTAATTATTTTAGCTGTGTTTGTAATTAGCAACAACCGATTCAAAGCAGCGTTCATCGAAGTGATGATCAGCCAGTACACCTAGATCCCTTAAAAATCATCTCTCCACCCAGACGTGAGTTCCAATCATCAACGACAAAAATGAAAAGCCTAGTAATGACTAGATAAGGTCTAAGAGTAAAATAGTATCAACGATTCTGAATTAGTCATTTCGATTATCATTTCTTCCGCTTCGTATTATTTTCCATACTAATGGGCAGTTGATTGGCAGTCTATATCTTACACTTGTTGGTAGAACATGCTGGCGAGCATGTTCCGCTTCTTATTGTACGTTACTTACAACGTCTATTACCCCTCGTCGAGGAGCATAGAATGCACACTGTCCAGTTGACATTCATTATTTTGATGTCATCTTCCAATTTCTAACGGAATGTGTCCCTTAATCTTCCACATTTTTTCATATTGTGTACGTGCATTAAATTTACATTACATTGGATTTGACACATTCTGTATCATTTCATGACTGTACGCATAATCTATTAAAAACTACCAGATTCTTTTAATCCTTATTTTATATGGCTTCACGGACGTAGATATACATGGACATATATTTACTTGCACCATAGCTTCACCTCATATTTTAACATCATTTTTATGGTGTCCTGTTTAATACATTTTTTTTACAAATACAGAAACTAGTATTTTCTTTTACAGGATGGAATCATTATAGCACAACATCCACTTTTAATTCTGTGAACACTTCATTTTGTTAAGCTATTATTCACAATTATTATAATTATCAGAATGGGTTATGTGGAGATTTTTTAGAAATTTCACAAGTTTAAATCATGAGTCAATTGAAGCTAGACCATCATGGAAAACCTGGAACCACTGAGCAACCATTTCGTCGTACTATGGGACTCCTCAGCAGTGCACATCCACGATCTCGCGGGATCCGAACCCAGGACCTACTGGTTTCGCGCGCGAGCACTTAACCACTAAACCACTGAGCCGGCATCCAACGGTGTTAATGTCTAACTTCAACCAATCCACGAGGTTGCGCCACCGTACACCAGTGTTCCAGTGGTTAAGTGCTCGCGTGCGAAACCGGTAAGTCCTGGGTTCAAATCCCGCGGGACCGTGGATGCACACTGCTGAGGGGTCCCATACTAGGACGAAACGGCCTTCCAGTGCTTCCAGGCTTTCCATGGTGGACTAGCTTCAATTGACTCATGATTTCAACTTGTGAAATTATTATAACTAACAGAGTCATTAGGTCAGTAACAATTTGTATATTATGGTATCAATATCATGCTTCTATGAGCATGTAGGCTTGATCACATGTTACAGTCTACTCATACATATTCATCTTGTTAACTTGAATAGTTAGTTACTAATATAGATCAATGACTCATTCGCTCTCTTATTAATTCATACGCTTACATTTGTATTTGTGTTAGTATTCACTTTGTGATCTACACCATATATTGACACATTGTAGTTCATGCTTCCTATTTTCTGATTGATATTAATATTGGTTATTAAGATGAGGGACATATAAAGGATTAGGAATTATTCTGAAGATATTCCATTACTATGGAATACAAAAACAAAATAGTCAAATGATTCAAAAATAAATTTTATCATTAGAGAACAGAAACAAAACAAACAAAAAATAATGAAGAAGAATAACAACAATATATGACGAGGAAACAGGAAGAGGGAAGAAAAACAAAAGAATAAACAGCTTATGTAATGATTCCTGCTAACAAGTGAGTGGGTCAGAGAGAGATAGAAATAAGCGATAATTATAGTAAGTGAAAATGGAAGAAATGTTGATCACACTAAAGAATATATATACCAGTACAAATATTAATGAATGTAAACAGATAGATAACATATATATCAATAAGAAAAACCAACTTAAAGTACACAATTGACTGCTAAACACAACAACATGTGCATTTCTACTTACACTACAACTCAATATAAAAAGCGAGAAATCAGCAACCCCCCACCCACCCATCATCCAACACATACGAGGAGGGTGGATAATTAGTAACACTGAGCAATTAGACAAAATATCCAAATGATATTTTTTTTTGAAGAAGAAGAAGAAGAAAAACAAAAGAAAGAAATTACATAACAACAATTAAAATATTTGCGAAAAAAATAAATAAATAAATTCAGCAGTTCATCCATATAAATTATCTGATTGTAAATATTCAATGAAATAAGAAACAATCATATCTAGTCATAAAACAGAAAGCAGCAGTGAAAGGTAATTCGTATATATATATATATATATATATATATATATATATATATATGTAGTACATATGATATATTGAGTTGAATGATGATTTGAAACAATGAGATCCATTATGTAAAGCACCAAATAACTAATCATTTCTTATATATAGATATATATTTGAAATAAATTCACCAAATTTTCCCATCCTATCGGATTACTTTTTTTTCCTTTTCTTTTTTTTGATATATTTCTTCATCGGTAAACAATAATGACGGATGGAGATAGATAGATAGATGGATTAAGAGAAAACAATCATTTTTTTTAGAGGTAAAACATTCTTATCATCACTTAGTGACAAAACAATCATACTAATTAATAATCATGATAATGAAATCAAATGGTTAATTATAAGAATGTAGGCGTGGAGAATGCTGGTGAGCGGCCTATACTCCTTCATCAGGAGTAACAGGCGTAGGTAAGTAAGTAAGGCGTCGTCACCAATCAATCAATCAATCATCAAGATGATTTGAATTAAAAATAATTTCCATTGAATGATTAAATCAACAGTGAATTCATTGTTATTAGATATTTTTTTAAAAAAACCCGCAGGATTTCAATTGTTCAATGATCAATAAAAATAATAAATAATTAAATAATAAAAAAACAAACAACGCAAAAATCATTCGCTTTAATTATCATATTCATTCTACTAATCATCATATTGAATCGGACTAGAAATACAATAAAAAGTGTATGTGTATATTGACTAAATGGAATAGACATTAACAATGATCAGGCAATGTAGGTAGTAAGTTTTGATTAACATATTTATATTTATATAATAAGCGATTATGTTTGTTTATTTGTTTGAGCGTGTATGTGTATGTATGTAGGTGTGTGTGTGTGTGTGTGTGTACATGTACACTTTTTTTTCTTTTCAATTTTCTCTATTTTAATTTTCTCTTATTATTATTTTCTTTATTCCTTAAGCGTGTTTACATTGATAAGAATAATAGAACCAATTGTGAGAGAGAAAAAAAATTTGGTGAAGTTCAATAACTAGAAAAATGAAAAAAATAAATAAATAAAAGAAGTTCAATCAATTGGATAAAGTTTATAATTTTAATGAAATTCAATAATCCCCAAAGTTCCATACTAAGAATAATGGATAACATTATATAATACATGTGAACTAACAAAATAATATAATTTATCAATATTAATCCAAATGCTCCCGACCGTTGTTGCTACCTTGACGTGGTCGAGCTTGCCTATCGTGATGAAGCATAGGAGCAATACTGGCTGGAACAATTGTTCATCAAGGTCCTACCACGTCAGAAAGGTCGGTTGAAGAACGGTAAGACTAGAAGCAACAAATCCAAGGTTCGAAGGCGAAGTCGAACTGCCGACTGTACAAATGTGTGACAGTAGTAAGGTGTTTTTTTCAAACAACCAGCATGATAACGATGCTGCCTTCCCACAAGGAGGGGTGGGGTTAGAAAAGGTAGACCCTGATAATGCACACCTCACTTTATCCCACGGATATCCGTCTCCGGTGGTAAGGACTCAACAAGTACGGAGCTAACACAAAAATTACTCATAAAAAGGTCGTGTGTGACCGACCTCAAGCAGTTGTCCCTTGGGCACTGCGATCACGCTCTCAGATCATTAAGACCACCTCTAATCCAATTTCCTTTTCAGGTACCTCCAGAAGAACCCTTCCACGGTGATAACCGCCCTCATACCTCTAACAGCACTCAAGACCACTGACTGGCTGACTGAATCCAAATACTACTACTACTGTGGTATGTGCTACTTATATCGACATAAGTAGTATATGATGTTAGTCAGGAACAGAATGTCTGGTAGCAAAGAGACAAGAGGGTCGAACAGTAAAGAATGGGAACAGAATGCAATTTGCATGAAAATGTAAGAACATTGAAGTCTGAGTCATTTTAAGACAATTGATGGACATTTTGCAAATAAATCATTTACTATATGATTGTTAGATTTCATTAACAGGTTCTGTAATTTCTTGTCAAATGCATTCGATTGTCCCCAATGGTGTTCTGTCCACTACACTAATAATAATTATATTAATAATAATAGTAATAATAATAACAACTTTTGTTCTACTGCTTCAAAGATGGTGATTATTTATCAACTATGTAGGTCAGTCAGATAGTCATAGTGATTAATGTATTACTATATGCACTACACTATGTCATTCGATTTATGTGAGGGATGCGATATTGCCCAGGTGCCCAAACCGAGGGAGATAGTCTTCTTAGGGGGTAACACTTGAAGTCTTCGGCCTAGAAGTCTAATCTACAAGGCTGTGGAGTGACGTTAGGAGATGCAGTCCCATGGTAACCGATGACCAACAATAGGTTCGTATGTCATTTTTTTCCTCAGGATACTGGAGCCCATGTGCACCACTGGTTTGGAATCAGGGTTTTCTAACTCCCTCGTTGGTGAACCAATTATCAAACGAATGTAAAACAAATCTCTTGAAAAAAACACTATAATGAAACATATATGAATATACATACTTATATGTAGGTTAGACAGATAGATGAATGAAAATTTGGAATAAGTACCTAATATCTACACTTAATAACCTCAAGACTTAACAGACGACAGACACATTAGTTCAGTGTAAACCAAACGTAGCTTCAGAAAAATAAACGACTTCTGATAATTTAATCTTTGTTTTAAGCGTTCTTACAACAACTGAGATTACTTAACGGACCTCATTCAATTACGAACAAGGAAAATGAAAGTTCCCACTTTACTACCCCTATCTACTACTAAAAGAAACGACATCACCCACCCGACGACGTTGACAGTTGTTAGGGATACGTAAAATATGTGCCAACAGCTTCAACTGGTGAAGATTCACTACTTAAGCAATCGATTTGCCATCCTTACTCATTACTTTGTGATTAAAGTCGGTGGTCACAAAATATACAAACGATGCTCTGATTACAGATCTTTAATCAAGTACTAGTAACATAAAATATTCTATAGGAAATATAAAGAATGGATAGATCTTCACAGATATGATCGATTCTAATCAATATTGCTCACAATTTTCAACCGTTGGTCGTGATTAGGGCTTTGATCATAAACTGATTGTTAACACTAATCAAATTACCTAACAGGTTAACAGCCAATAATTTCATAGACCGAGGTCAATTTTTAGATTTAGCTACTTCACTCCGAGATTTCTTTACTGATACCTACTTTAGATTCAATACCGTTAAAATACGTGACCCTTCTAACACCAAAGGTTAGAGGTAATATAATTTCCGGAAATCGGAAAATGATTACAAATCCCTTAAAAATTACTACAACAAAATACAACATTAAAAACAACTTACACCTAAAACAATCATTATTAACACCAAATTGTAACTGAAGTCTTTCTTTTTACCACCACTTGAGAGAAAAAAACATTCACTATATACCTTTAATTTCATCGTACAAATGAATAATCACTAACCTTTAATCGGAATCAAGTGAATCATCCTGTTCTTCATCAGATTCACAAATAGTATTATTATTACTCTTACAATAAAGTGAACTCTCCAAAGTAGAGTTAAGACCATTTATGTCCGTTGATAATGGAGTGATTTCTTTCAATAGAAATAATAAAAAAAAATCAATTAACATGAGAGTTTTGATAATTAAACAATAACGTTACCTTCAATTCTTTAGAGAGAAAAAAAGATCTATAGTCTAAAGTTGGATTATAGGAAAAACTAATTTGTAGGTTACAAAGTAGCAAGTTATGCAATGAAAAAAAAGTATACTGAAGAACAATTCCGGAAACTTGATATCGATCGTACCTATACGTATAGACACTATGAATAAATGGTTCTAAGGTATACAATTCAGTAAACAAACTTATAAACATTCATGATCATATTGTAAACAAGAAGTAAGTTAGAGTGAAAGTGTATGTGAATCATGCTAAAATGAATTGCTTCTTCATATCTGTGACGACGGACAACCGGTGAACTCGAGGAAGCTGTAAGAGGCTCAGAAGGAGCCGAAGACGTTCCATCCAATCACCTTTCGGAAGAATGTTCTAGAATTCCAACGTGTAGCTTCCCCATTGGATAATGCTAACAACTCCCTGTACGCGGATTGGAAGACTGTAATGATGATTTCGTTCTCACTAAAAACTATAAATACCTGACAATTTTGTACTATGATTGACACTGTTTGGAATAATATTCCTTTCATTAGTCTTCTGTCTTCTTATTGCGACTTGGAAGGGTTTTGGTGTTCTAGTACTCAGTTATACGCGGTAGTATCAAGAAAAACCAACTTTTCAAGATATAACAATATCTTTCATAGAATTTGCTATGAATTATATTTCTGAATGAAAATTCATTGAGGATGCTGGAAAGGTCTAAATGTTATTTAGAAACTATGAAGATATAAACATATATGCAATTCGACAGTTTTACAAAATAAAATCTGTTATTAATGAAATCCATAAACAAACCCGCTAAAACAGTCTTTTAAATAGCATACCCATCCCATATATTTTATCAAGAGTTTCATTTTTATAATGATATTGTACACAAAGATAATGAACGTTTCTCAACTACAATATACGATTTGTAAAATAGTAAACCTCTTCATTCAAGCAGAAAGTTCAAACGAATTGGAAACTTTTTAAAGTTAAACTTATGTAATACTGATATTATTTATAAGTAAGACAAAATAAATATATGTATATACATGACAATCTATGTAAGTATAAATTACCATTTTTAGTACGTCGACGAATTCCACACGGTAAAGCATCTAAATCGGAAAAACTATCTTTTGGTGAATCACCATGAGATACAGTTGATTCATGAGGCATAAGCATAGCTGGTGCACGAAACATATAACATAAAGGATAATAGATTAGATTAATACAAGAGAAAGAATATAAATCGGCATAACGTAATACTTGAGATGAGAAGAATGTATGACGAGAACCTGAAATAAGATAAAAATCAATAATATAACACAGAAAAAAAGAGACTTATAAATAATGAGTAATTATAGTGTACATTGTGTTTTCATATTTCAATGATCTAAACGTTAATTTTCATTATAAAGCAAAACACTCAACTCACTAATAGAAATACTTAACATGGCAATTGTCTAACGTATTTACCAACAGGACACTTAATGTCGAATTACCTAGACTAATGGCCATAATCCTTTATAATCCGTGAAATTCTATCACTACTAACGAACTGTACAAATACGACATTGGCCGTTAATTGCGGATCAATCAATCAGAAGGAAGCATAATAATGCTGATCTAAAATCCTTTACAATTATATATGCTAAACTCTCAAATAAATAATAATCATGCTTAATATATTTTCAGGCAAGATTTTTGAGCCGACTAGTTGCAAGTTTTGGGATCAAGAAGTAAGCAATGCTTGGGGTTAGAAATAGAGTTTTTGGTAAAGGTGGGAAATCGACTGATGAGCAAGTGAATTTTCGTCAACTGAGGTGGTTGGGAAATGTGTTATGTATGTCCAACTATTGTCTATCTTGACGAGTGATGCTTTCTGGTGCAGGAATAAGATGGGAAAAAGCTAGAGGCAGCCAAACCGATACATGGCATCAGTACATGAAATCATTGACAATTGAATTGAGCCATGATAATAGGTGTAGACTACTTGATTGTGGTCTGCGCGAGCATCAAAACCAACGCTTAGACTTTAAATGACATGGCTTAAAATCGTTTGACGTGGCGCAGGTGCATCTGTTCTTTATCTTTCCCCGAATTCTGAGATTCTGAATTGCTCATAACTTCTTATACGTATAAAGAACGAGTTAGTGCGTATATTTTGTTTGTGGTCGACCAATAAAAGCTTCTTGCTCACTCTTGATTTTCTCAGTAATGTGTGTGGTTGGGTTAGGTTAATAGTGGATTATAATATTAGATTCAAACAACCGCCCAAAATAGATGTGTATATATGTCATGGAGACTGAAATAAATGTAACATATTTACCAACGAATTATAATTGAGGTTTAACTCAAGATTATAATACAATCAGTCGATAATCTATATGAAATTGAAATGGAACAAGAACAACTAAGAATTTAATATACATTAAATTCATTCTTACTATCAATTCAATTCAGCTACATTCAAGCTATGAATAGTAAATTGTTAGAAAAAAAGTTTACAAATGACAATAAATTAATCCAGGAACAGAAAAGCACAAAGTTTACAGGAATGATTTATACGAATACAGGTTAAAGTCAGACACTGAATACACCAAATCGTAAGAAAATTAAATAATAATGTAATATGAACTATCTTTACTGTTTGATATATAGTATAAATTTGCTTTTGTATGTGTACGTGTGTGTGTGTGTGTAAGTATTATAAACAATTAAACATATAGGTAGTAATGATATTCTGTAGGAAATTTGTGGTTGCCTAATTTCACCATCATCGTTATCATCATTACTTAAGTCAGAGGTAATTATTGAAAGACTATGTTTTTCATAAAATTATTGTTATAGTGTTTTGACAAACATCACCTAATGTATATGATGGTTATAGTACTAACAAGAATACTGGATGTTTAAATAACTAATACGATAAACATTTTTGAGAAGAGAAAATAACTGATTTCAAAACTAACCGTTTCGGAAAATACTTCCCAATGCACCATAAGATTCTTCCATTCGTTGAGCCACAGCCTTGATATATATAGATTCATTAAAACGGGATGAACAAAAGAGAAACATTTTAAAAAAAAAGCATATACAACTATATATGTAATACATAGATTATCAGTAGTTATTGACTAATTGACAAATAATTCCCATTTAAACATCAAACATTAACAACACAAAGTTCAGAGAAAGGATCACTTCTCAACAAATTTATTATCAAGCTGTACAATCATTTACTCTCACCCTTTCTCTTTCTCCTGGTGACCGACTGGATTATGAAGACGTCAGCATCTGAAAGAAAGCACAGGATACAGTGGACAGATAGGATGCAGCTGGACGATCTAGACTTCGCAGATGATCAGGTTCCTCTATCGCACACGCAACAACAAATGCAGGAAAAGCCGACCAGTGTAGCAGCAGTCTCAGAAATAGTAGGTCTCAACATACAAAAAGAGAAAAGCAAGAGTTTCCGATACAACACAACATGCACCAATCCAATCACCATTGACGGAGAAGATTTGGAAGATGTAAAAACCTTTATATATTTGGGCAGCATCATTGATGAACACGGTGGATCTGATGCAGATGTGAAGGTGCGGATCGGCAAAACAAGAACAGCATATTTACAACTGAAAAACATCTGGAAATCAAAACAACCGTCAACCAACACCACGGTCAGGATTTTCAATACAAACGTCAACACAGTTCTACTATATGGGGCGGAAACATGCAGAACTACGAAATCCATCATCCACAAGATACAGGTGTTTATTAACAGTTGTCTACGCAAAATACTTCGGATCCGTTGACCGGACACTATTAGCAACAACCTACTGTTGGAAAGAACAAACCAGATTCCAGCGGAGGAGCAAATCAGGAAGAAGCGTTGGAAGTGGATAGGACACACATTGAGGAAAGCACTCAATTGTGTCACAAGACAAGCCCCCACATGGAATCCTCGAGACCAAAGGAAAAGAGGAAGACTGAAGAACACATTACGCCGGGAAATGGAGATAGACATGAGAAAAATCAACAACAATTGGATGGAATTAGAAAAGAAGGCCGAGGACAGAGTGGGTTGGAGAATGCTGGTCGGCAGCCTATGCTCCATTCGGAGTAACAGACGTAAATAAGTGTACAATCGTATATACATACCTCGGCCCTAATTACTATTCTTATTAATGGATTCCCCCTTGTCTCATATTCTCACTATTTTATTCATAAGTACTCATCATATCACTTTATTTATTTTCATACCTTTATGACCTTTAATTATTGTAATAAAAACATTTAAGTCATCTTACTACATCCATGTGATAATTTGTCACTAACTTATTAAATCTATTGTTATTATTCATATTATGTAATCTGGTATTACAATCTTTCTATTAAATAATCTTGATTATTCGTATTCACATTTCTTCACGGAACTAGTACTTTAACAAACAAAAAATTTCATATATATATATATATATATATATATATATATATATATATATATATACGATTGTACAGCTTGATAATAAATTCGTTAAAAAGAGATCCCTTCGCTGATTGATTATTTAAATAAAGTATATAGAAATGTTTCACAATCTATTAGCCAATCTCTTAATTGGAACAATAATGATCACGAAATGAATAACATGATACTGGTAAATCGAATTCATAGTGGTACAAATACATTTCTAAACTTTGCTGATTTAATTTAATTCGCTTTTTTTCGGGGGGGGGGATAGACATACAGCTGATAAATTGTAAATACAATAAAACTCACATGAAGAATTATTTATATTTCTTCTAATACTTAACCAACTTATGAACAGATATGGTTATTGATATTTCATAATAATAACAACAATGATATCAATAACAATAATAATGGTAGATCTTGATCGTATACCATTCATCAATTACGCATGATAATCGTTGAGGAAATAAAAAATTGTAACCACTAACCGAAATAATTTTAATATCATCATTATTTTTTCTATTTCATACGATCTAACTCCGCATGGAGGATTATTTCTTTTAAATAATCACATGTGCTATTTACAGCATGAAAATAAATCCAAATCGAATTTCTCTTCAATTATTCAATAGGTAACTAATAGGTGATAACATAATAAAAATAAAACCTGCGATGGTTATCTCTAACTCACACACCAGACATAGCTAAGCTCCAACAGCTCATGACAACCCGACCGTTGTTGCTACCTTGACGTGGTGGTTGGGCTTACCTGTCGTGATAAACTAATCGAGCTATAATGGCTGGAACAATCGTTCCTCAAGGTTATACCATGTCAGACAGGTCGGTTGAAGAACGGTAAGACTAAAAGCAACAAACCTAAGGTCCGAAGGCGAAGTCGAACTGCCGACTGTACAAAGGTGTGACAGCAGTAAGGTGTTTTCTTCAGACAACCAGCATGATACCGACGCTGCTTTCCCACAAGGAGGGGTGGGGTTAGAAAATATCGACCCTAAAAATGCACACCTCACTTTATCCCACGGATATCCGTCTCCGGTGGTAAGGTCTCAACAAGTACGAAGCTAACACAAAAATTACTCATAAAAAGGTCGTGTGTGGCCGACCTCAAGCAGTTGTCCCTTGGGCACTGCAGTCACGCTCTCAGATCATTAAGACCACCTCTAATCCAATTTCCTTTTCAGGTACCTCCAGAAAAACCCTCCCACGATGTGGGCAACCGGGAAGTGACAACCGCCCTCATACCTCTAACAGCACTCAAGACCACTGTATTCTGAGTTCATGACAATTGCTTCTCACTTTCTTTTGAAGCCGATCTCTAGTGAACATATGAAAATCATCAGTATGGAGGTTGTGGAAATTGTTTGATATTATTAAGATCAAAAACCGAATGAAGTTACAAAAAATATTGAAATCCTGGAAGCATTGAATAGTTGTTTAATCCGAGCATAGAACTTTACAAACACAGCCAACCACAAAAACAATTGTGAAATATTCACTTTTACCTGAAATAAATGATGAAAAGATTGTCCCTATTGAAAATGGAAGCTTTACAATCTAAGAACTGATTGATATACCATTAAAATATATATTTACCAAACATTCACTTACCCGAATTTTTCTCTGTAAATCTCCAACATCCGGTCTTATATTCGATGAGATATTCAAATCACTAATAAAATATTTAACAAAGTTGAATGAAAGTTATGCAATGAGAAAGAAAACATGTATTATTATTATTATTATTATCGACATAAGGCAACAATAACAACAAAACAAGAACTTTGATCCATTTGTTTATTTGTGAAATAACATTGGAAAATATTCTAGGTCATCATTGTTAATTGATACTGCTTTGTAAAGGATGAGATTAGGGTATATGTAGCGAGGTGGAGTGAAATAACGAAGTGAAGCAACCTTCATTTTCCCCAATACATAAAACTTATATATATATTAACATAATTTGTTGTTTGATAAATAAACAAAAGACAAGATCGATAGATTTTTTCGTAAAAAAACGAAACAATAGTTCACCAAGTCACATATGGTAATAATATACACAGAAATCACAACAACTTGGATCAAGAAAAAATTTCAAAGTTAACATTCTATATTGAGATGTAAAATGATGAGATCGATTCTGATGCTAAAAGTTTGTGAAACTCTTCTACTATGAATTAAGGATGTGTCTTGAAATTCCCCGCTTCCAATCAATGCTTTCTTTAAATAATTGTTGGTTTCTAATGGCTACACTATGTAATACTTAAGTTTAACAAAATGTGTTCAAACATAGCGATGATAAGTGATTCAGTGTCACTATCTCAAGAAATCTTCATCAGTGACTCAGTCAATCAGACAACAATGTAGAACTTCGTACGTAATTACATCAGTTCGAGTTGCCATATCACATTACATTAGCACAGAAATACAATTTTCGATTCAAATTACATAGTGGTCGAGATAGTAAAAGTATAAGCAGTAATCGAGAACATTATGGTTTGAAGATCTTATTCAAAGAGTATAATACAGTAAAATAAATTTGGAAAGAGAAAAAAATAAAGAGACATGAAGAATTTAGGAGATTAAAATTTTGGAGAACACAAAGAGTGGATGCACCTGTGCCATTGCAAACGATTTTGAGTCATGTGATTCAAGGTCCCTAACCATCGGTTGCTATTGTCTCGCAGATAGATAGTCTACACCTACCGACATGGCTCAGTCTACTTGTCAATGACTTCATGGATTTGTGCCATGTTTTGGTCTAGCCAGCCCTAGCTTTCTTCCAACCTACTCCTACACCATAAAACATCGTACGTCAGGCAGTCGGTGGTTGGGCATACGTAACACGTGTCCCAGCCATCTCAACTGATGAAATTTCACTACTTAATCAATTGATATTCCATCCTTACCTAGTACCCGTTTCCTAACAACTGCATCCTAGTCATCAGTGACTAGGATATATTTTACGAATGCCACCCTAGTGGATTCCATAGGATATACTTTTTGCCTGAACGGTAAAACCGGGTGGAAGATGTGGAAAAATAATCAATTTATAAAATGGCATTGTGATGCAAAAGATAGTAACATAGAGTTATCATCTATTTCCTGATCGAAATCCACAAATTACGGCAGTCAAGGGATTTGACACGTTATCACATATGATTCACGATGGAAGCTATTAACTGCCTTGACATAGATTCCCATTACATTACATTTTTTGATACGGTACTATGGTTTCATATTGTGTGGTTCATTCATTTCTAATCCTTTTTTTATTGTACTAAAAAATGTTTAACAGTTTAACAATAAGCACAATGGAAATTTATCACATTTCAACGCAATTCAATATTGATAAGGAAGAAATTCTCATTTAATACAATATTCCATTTGCATGAGGAAACATTTTCATAATTTCCGGAAGATATTCTCAAAACAGAAATCATATGATAATTACTTATTTTAAAATTATCATTACTAATACTTAGTAAAAACACATTCAAAATTACAAACTCATTGTTGAGTAATAAAAACATTTTTTCAGTATAGGGTTGTAGAGATTATTAAGCTTTTTGATTGAGGTCATAAACCGATTGGTGTTAGACCACCATTGTAAACCTGGAAGCATCGGACGGCTGTTCCGTCCTATTGTAGGACTCCTCAGAAGCGCGCCGATTGGTTGAGGCTACACATTAACACTGTCGGATGCCGACTCAGCGGTCTAGAGGTTAAGCGCTTGCACGTGGAACTGAAGGCCCTGGGTTCGAATCCCGCGAGTGAGATTGTGGATGCGCACTGCTGAGGAGTCTCACAATAAAACGAAACGGCCGTACAGTGCTTCTAGGTTTTCAATGGTAGTCTAACATCCATCGGTTCATGATCTCAATCAAAAAACATTTTTATTTAAAACATATATCAATATTCCAATTAACATTAATTTATTAGGAGATTACTAGAATTTTGGTTTAAAATAGATGAGATGAGGCTAGCAGAGGAATTCAGAAGACACGTTTCATTTTATTTGGAAATCATCAACTGGATGTAACTACACTCCAGAGTTGGTATTCAGTCTGGGACTCAAAACCAACATTGCTCTCTGCAAATGATATCGCGTTATCCACTTGAGTGCTGAGTCCAGATAGCCATTCCTGCTTCGGTTTGGGCGCTCGGGCAGTATCCCATCCCTCATTTCAGTTCAGAACAGTATAGTAAGTTTAGTATACTTATATGTGGCTATCAATAGGATCCAGGATATCCGTTTCGCTCTATTTGGGACTCGTCAATTGGATGCACTTGCATAAAATGGTAAGGTGTTATAAGTTAAAGGAACTCGATTCGAGTTTCAGTGCGAACATTAACAATGAGATCCAGACACATCTAAACGACAAATACCAAACAGGATAAACGTACGTCGTGGATCCCACCGTTAGATAATTAGCCATATGGCAACGGAGCCTGATAAATTGTAGTCATGAATATCGACATGAAACTGAAAACCCTTTATAGAATTTGATGCAGTAAACCAATCAGAAATCAGCAGAAATGATATTGCATGTAACTGATCAAGGAATGACTTTGGTTTACAATGAATTAGGCATAAATCACAGATTTTCTTAATTTTCCAAAGGAAATCATATATGCATAAACAAGTGCATAGTTGTTTCTTGATTCGGGTACCCAATAAAATTGTTTCTCATTTTCAGTCTTTTAACTTAAGCACATCAGATTAGGGTATAAGAAGTATGTGTATCAGTATCAGCTCTCGGACACCACACGTCATAACAGTAATATACAACGATAACGTCATATCAGAATTAGTGGAATTCGAAAAATATGACTAGTTTGAAATACGTACCGGAATGTATCACGTACTCACCGAGAAAAAACTCATAGATTCGATCCTGTGTGAAGTCTATGTTGTACATAATGCTAAAAATATTTTTTAAACTAGTACAGGTAAGCAATACAAAACTGTTTTTCTTGCTTTTAACAAATAGTTTAAAGAGAGCAAGTACAAAGATTGGTGCAGAATAATAAATGAATTCATTTTATTATTTAGTTAGGTTCTCATCAGCTGCTTACAGTCTAAAATATTTGAAAATCTACGTTATTACAGATGAGATGACATACTTATCTATACGAGGGTGATTAAAGATGAATAAATGTATCATGGTATAGCGAAGATTTCAATCAAGTTAATAAGGTCATAAGAATTTTGTTTTGGATAAATAAAGTTTTTTTTTGGGGGGGGAGTTCCAGAACATTAACATAGTGATTAGAACTCATGGAATTAAAAAAATGTAATGAAGTAACTGACAATAGATTAATGATAATGAAGAAGGGTATAAATTGAAATCAGTCAGTTATGAATGATGTAATTTTAAACTTCAGAAAGAGTTGGAGTAATGAATACCGTAATAAATAAATAAAGCGGATTTATTGTTACCAGGGTAAAAAAAGATTTATTACTGTGTATTTTTGTATACATAGATCTGGTTTGAGACGTTTGATTGTTATCGCTTTGGCAAATTTCGAAAGGTTGGAGTTTGTTTGTTAATCACCTTGAAGGGCTTTAGTGTATCGACTTCATGTTCTGTGTCAAGGAGATGTCTTGAATGCTTTTAATCCATTTGATCTTAAACTTGTCGAAATATGTTCTTTAAATAAGACGTAGGTTCTCCTTTCTGTTCTACCAATGAAATTGCTTTGGGAGATACATGTAAATTTGCATGCACAGTTAGTGGTAACACAATCATCTAATTTTTGTTAACTCCATGGGTTCTAATCACTATGTTAATGTTTTGAAACTCCCCCCCCCAAAAAAAAAAAAAACTTTATTTATCCAAAACAAAATTCTTATGACCTTATTAACTTGATTGAAATCTTCGCTATACCATGATACATTTATTCATCTTTAATCACTCTCGTATAGATAAGTATGTCATCTCATCTGTAATAACGTAGATTTTCAAATATTTTAGACTGTAAGCAGCTGATGAGAACCTAACTAAATAATAAAATGAATTCATTTATTATTCTGTACCAATCTTTGTTCTTGCCCTCTTTCATATAATAAAGGGAACGATGTGTATTAAATAAAGCTCAATCAGTTTTTTTTTTGCGTTTTCGAAAAATTTCATCAGGAAGAAAAAAAAATAACCAAAAATCAATTAACTAACCGATAGATTGTTTCTAAATTATTATCAATTTTTTGTAATTCATCAAATAATGATTTCTTTTTTTTCCATACATATATTTCATTTGCTAATTCTGGTATAATTAAATATGTTCTCCAACCGACAGTTTTTTTCGATTTTAATATATCACCATAAACATGATCACCAACATATAAAACATCTTTACCACGAGCACCAATTAGATGAGAAAAAACTTCACATGATCCTGAAACAATATTATAATAATGATAACATTTTATAATATTGAATAGTAAATGTGTACTTTTGAAAAAAAGGGCCCCTAGTGAAATACATTACTGATGCAGATGTAAAAGCGTGGATCAGTAAAGCAAGAACGGCATATTTACAACTGAAAAACATCTGGAGCTCAAAACAACTGTCAACCAACACCACGGTCAGGATTCTCAATACAAATGTCAACACAGTTCTAGTGTATGGAGCGGAAACATGCAGAACTACGAAAGCCATCATCCACAACATACAGGTGTTTATTAACAATTGACTACACAAAATACTTCGAATCCGTTGACCGGACATTATTAGCAACAACCTACTGTGGGAAAGAACAAACCAGATTCCAGCGGAGGAACAAATCAGGAAGAAGCGCTGCAAGTAGATAGAACACATATTTAGGAAAGCACCCAACTGTGTCACAAGACAAGCCCTCACATGGAATCCTCGAGACCAAAGGAAAAGAGGAAGACTGAAGAACACATTACGCTGGGTAATGGAGATAGACATGAGAAAAATGAACAACAATTGCATGGAATTAGAAAAAAAGGCCCAGGACAGAGTGGGTTAGAGAATGCTAATCGGCGGCCTATACTACATTGAGAGTAACAGGCGAAAGTAAGTAAGTAAGTAGTAAAATACATTGCATTTTATTGCTTGTAACACGTTAAATAACAAAATGAAAGAGATTCTAATTTAACAAATGTAATTGCTATAAAGAGAGTCATGATAAAAATTTGAAAGAACCTCTTTTATCATATAATTTTTATGATACTGGAATCAGAAAATGAATAAATGTTTTATTTGGGAGTTTGTACAGATTTTTTAATTATATAGTTTGTATTATATATTGACCCTAGTTAAACAATCACTGGAAATCAGAAAACACTAGATAATGGTTCTACAACAGAATGCGACGAGTCCTCAGCAATGAGCAAGAACAACTCCTCTACTAGGGCTAGAACTCAGGATTTCCGGGTCTTACGACGAGTAATAAAGTTCTGTTGACTGGTATCCGATAGTTTATGTTTAGATTCAATGAATTCGTTATATTGCGCAACCATTTCTAAATGTCCTATATGGTGGGCAACTATATGATACTCGAGATGATCGAACGTTACTGGTCATCACCTCTGCTGAAATCTCTGGCTTATTATGAATTTCAACAGTTGAATTCACGAGTCAATCTAAGCTAGACTAATAATGAAAACCTGGAAGCACCAGACGGCAGTTTCATCACAATATGGGACACCTCATTAGTGCACATTCACGATCCTGCACGCGGAACTCGGACCCAAGACCTTTGGTCTCACGCGAGAAAACTTAACCTTTATACCACTGAGTAGTGTTAAGAAGGCCCATATTAGGACAAAACGGCCGTCCAGCGCATCCAGGTTTTTAGTAGTGTTATAGCTTACATCAACTTGTAAATTCAACTAAAAATATTACAATCTCCACAAATCCCCATGCTATTATGAATTTAAACAAAAGTAGTACAGAAAATAATAAATTTCAAATTGTCATCCACATTTATGCATTCTCACGTTAGTTTAAAAGTAGGAAATTTTAAGAAAAGTAAAGTTGATCACTGAGTACATCGTTTCATTATTAAATAAATTAGATTATGTCATCATCAACAAGGTCAACATCCCATTTGAGATTACTATCAAAATAAATGTAACTTCGGTCCTAATTATTGTGAATCAAACCTATCGTAAAAAGATAAATATATTATCATCACAGACCAAATAAACATAGATAGATGGAGTATCTTTCAGGAATCAGGATTTAAAAGAAAGAACATCTTAAGTATTTACTAAAGAAATACTAACAGTTTTCTAAGATACATTAAGCATAGTAAATATTAGTTATACTACAACTTTGGCAGACAATTTGAATATAAATGTCCCGCGGAGGAGGAGGGAAGGAAGTATTCTACTTCCCATCAGGTGGTTGAATGATAATTCTTTCGAAAAATTAATTAGATACATAAATGTACAGCAGAATTTAATTATGTGTAAACTGTTCAATACAAACAACTAATAGGATGTAAATTATACTATATTAATGTAAGTTTTTATTCGTTTCTGATTGCTATTATTATTATTGTTAATGGCTTTATTCAATATTATATTTTGGTACAATATAGAATTCTCAGCACAGAGTATTTCAACAAGTTACTTACGCAACAAAAAGAAACACAGTAACAAATACCAAAAAAAAATGAAAAAGGCTTTTTTAAAAAACACCGAAAAAACTGTACAACTTTTCAAATTAGAGACGGCTAAGAATGCAGGCTATTGACTAGGTTAACTCGAACAACCTGTTCATCACAGAGTATATTTTCTAGCTAAGGTATTATAGAACTTTTATACTTTTGCTTGCGTGCATGGATTTTAATGTATTGACGTCTCGTTCTACCAGAAGATATACAAGGAGAAAGATAAGAGTGAAGGAGATAGCTAGTATCTGATAAGATAACACCTGCTAAGAGTTTTCAAGACTTTAGATGTCTATCCACAACCATATTAATTATGACCTCGAAAGATTCACCACACATCTTGCTAACTGCCTTCAGCACTCTCCACAATACAGCAAAGTCAAAAGCCTGGGAAAGAATAGCTAACAAGAATTCATTATGAGTATGTTTTCTTCTTTTAATACAGTTATGTAAATAGAAAGTAATTGAGAAAATTACTGTACATATACTTTGTTTGTTAGTAGTATCAACAATGAATAAACATTATGAATCATGAGGTATAAACACTTTCGAGCAATTTATAGAACAAATAGGTATATTCAGTCGAAGCAGTTATGTATATCAATGTAAAAAGGAATAATTATCACATTGAGAAATTCTAGAAATGAATTTTATTACAATGAACAGCTTAACTCGGTTACAATATCCACTTGATAACTGTTTATGACATTTTTTCACACACCCTGAGAATAATTATCCACGAATCTTTCCATAATTGGATCTTCTTTTTTTTTAAAAAAAAGGATACATTTTACAGTATTCAAATAGATTATGGTTCAATAGAGGTTAAACAAATAAGTGATATAGACTAATAATACAATCATTTTATAACTATAGTGTATTCTAAAATGAATTCATACTCCTTGACTCAAAATAACAGTTAACAATTGTGTTGTTCAATAGATCAAACGGAATTAGTTATTCCTTAATTTTAGCCTTGGGATGTTTTAATTACTGGACTACAAAAAAACTATATACACATGGGAAAGAATAAAACTTTCAATTTCGGTCCACAACACATGATATATATATATGCATTAAACTAATATAGTTTCAAATTACCTCCGGAATATATTTGACCAGTTTCTAAAGGACCCATATGATGACCAATACTGGGCTGCCCAGTATCCTTTATAAAATAAATTGAATGAAAGAAATAATGTTACGCAAATAAAAAATGACTAATATGTCATAAAATAATTTAAACAGTACTGGTCATAACAGCTTTTGATAACAAATGAAAAGGTAACTTTGTATCTAGTAGAGTTTTTTAGTCACGTACATAACTTTAATCAATTACCATTTTTATTTACATAACATTTAGTTAATAATTCACTTGATATTATTTGGCTTGTATCTTCCCAATTGATCAGTCTGTTATCGGCATATGTGCATACTGTGTGTATGCCTCGATATTGCCTTAATTCATAAGCTTTTTGTAAGCAATGATGGATAGTGGCTAGCAGTGAATTGAAATTCATCCCATTACACAAGCAAGTGGTTATCAGGACCCAGTAGCTAAGTGGATAACGCGATGGCGTTTGAAGCGAATAGTACTGGGTTCGAGTCCCAGAGTGAAAATCAACTCTGAGATGCAGGCACATCCAGATGACGATTCCCAAATAGGACGGAACGCGCGTCCTGGATTCCACTGCTAGTCACTATCCATCATTGCTTACAAAATTTAATTAATAAGCATGAATTCATGTATTCGGTTTTGGAGCTATATTACAATTCTATGAGTGGTTTTATTATTATAGTTGAAGCTAGTTGTGAACCAGCAACTAAATGGTTAAAATCCATATGCTTTAATCAATTAAGTACCGATTTATTGGTGTTAAATTGAAATATATAGAAAACAGAAATTTGTTTTCATTTATAAAATTCATTTAATTTCATCAGTTATAATAAATGTATTATAGATGATATTCTTATTTGCCTTTCATTTAAACGATTCATTGATATCTGTACTATACATCAACTCATATCTAAACTTGACATTGAATCTTTGTATAAGATAATTAATATGTTAGTGAAATAAGTTAATTAGTTAATTATCAAACAATATATTAATCATTATAAGCAAATATAGATGGTGGCTAGTGGTGGAAAACAGGATGCACGTTTCTTCCTATTTGGATCTTGTCAACTAGATATTATCTTTGTTTAATAATACTTGTGATTCTTAAGGCAATATCGAAGCTATCCGAACAGGATGTAAATATGTCAATAAAAAAACTGATCAAATACAATCCTAAACATCAATGAGATTTAAAACAAACATATCAATCAATTTAATAAACTCGATAAACTAGAAAATCCGGACAAAACTTATGATATAACAGGAGGACAAATAATTGAAATAACTTTAAAAATACCATTTATAAATACAAAATTCTAATGAATACATGAATTGATTTTATTACAAAATAATCATCATCATGTACATTTATAATGACTAATATGTGTTATATAAAACTATTGTGCAAATAATTCCACTATGTATCATATTAAATGACCGACATTAAATGTGTACATAAGTGACTGATATTTTTATAAGTTTACATTACTAATTCAATATTTACACCAATCAGTTCCTTTGTTATGCATCTTGTATCAGACTCTACAGTCAGTCAATTACAACGACCGTTGTTGCTACCTTGACATGGTGGTTGGGCTTACCTGTCGTGATGAACCAATCGAGCTATTTTGGCTGGAACAATCGTTCCTCAAGGTCCTACCATGTCAGACAGGTCAGTTGAAGAACGGTAAGACTAAAAGCAACAAACCTAAGATTTGAAGGCGAAGTCGTACTGCCGACTGTACAAAGGTGCGACGGTAGTAAGGTGTTTCCTTCAGACAACCAGCATGATACCGACGCTGCCTTCCCACAAGGAGGGGTGGGGTTAGAAAAGGCCGACCCTGAAAATGCACACCTCACCTTATCCTACGGATATCCGTTACCGGTGGTAAGGTCTCAACAAGTACGGAGCTAACACAGAAATTACTCATAAAAAGGTCGTGTGTGACCGACCTCAAGCAGTTGTCACTTGGGCACTGCGGTCACGCTCTCAGATCATTAAGACCACCTCAAATCCAATTTCCTTTTCAGGTACCTCCAGAACAACCCTTCTACGGTGTGGGCAACCAGGAAGTGACAACCGCCCTCATACCTCTAACAGCACTCAAGACCACTGTATTCATCAGACTCTACGTTCAATATGAATAGTAACTGATTGTCGAACAAAATGGTATTAAATTTAATAATTAAAAAAATGCAAACTAGTTCTTTCAATATTTATGTAGAATAGAGAAAGTGCATGATGTGAACAGAGAAAAAAAGAAGCCATGACAAACAAAGGGAGTTGTCTTTCGGGACGTTATTTCACTTAATTTAAAGCTTGTAAAATACCAACATTTATTTTTGTCCCTGGTTCATTCGGCAAACTATAAGCTATCGTTTGATGTATGATTCACTGCCATACCCTTTTCTGTTCAAAAGCTATTGTGTGATTTAAACGGTACCATCGATGCCCTGTTTTTCTACACTAATGCCCAGTTTTCAGCACAATTGTATTTTAATCAAATAGGGGTTTTTGTGGATATTATAGTAATTTAATTGTTGAATTCATGAGTCAATCGAGGCTAGATCACCATGGAAAACCTGGATCGAGGCGAGGTCGTGGATGCGCACTGCTGAGGAGTCCCATACTAGGACGAAACGGCCGTCCAGTGCTTCCAGGTTTTCCGTGGTGGCCTAGCTCCAATTAACTCACGGATTGAACTATTAAAATAATTGTATTTCTCTAATTATTTGTACGTTGTGGTCATGTTGCTCATCTATTAATTAATATATATTTTTGCATTAATCTGAATCGGAATTGAGAATAAATCGAGTAGTGTCCCCGGTTGACTGGTGTTTTCTCTCTTGTCAGGTGACAGAGTGGTTTTCGTCTCTCTACCCAAGGCAGTCAACCTCACTTCAAGCACAAGCATTCTAACCTCAAGGTTAAACCAGTTAGCCTATCGTTCAAGGACTTAATCTAGATCGATACAAGTTATCTTCTGTATATTGTCGGGTAGACAGATCAAGAACGTAAAAATGCGGTTAGCAATGGAATCCAGCAGTCGCGACCTCTAGACCACTAAGCCGACATCCAGCAGTATCAATGTCTACGCTCAATCAATCTAAAACATTGCGCGATTATCTTCGATTGTCTGCCTCAAACTTGGTACGGATTAACTCCACTGGCCACGGTTGAGGAGTTCCACACTAGGACGAAGTGGCCGGCCGGTGCTTCCAGGTTTTAAATGGTGGTCTTATTTAGATCGGCTCATGACTTTGATGAAATTCAACAGTTTCCACGACCCTATATTGAAAATGACATTAAAATGTTCGATGACTAAAAACAAATTTTAGTAGTCTTCAATGTATGAAAGTTTTATAATTTAACAAAGTGTAACAAATCACTTTATGACGTGAATATAACTTTAATAAAATTGTTGTTATGGTCAACTCATCTCTAACGCTAAAATGCCATAATTATATCAAGCATTATATTACTGTATATTTTGCAACACGATTTACAATATTACGATTTACAGTATTTTGGGACGTAATTTAAAGATTTCTGTCGAATTTATCAGTGCAATGTTTTTGACAACTCCGCCTGGAGCCCCTCTGGTATAATGCCGATCCCAAGCCCGGATAAAAGAGGAGGGTTGGGCATAGGGTTAGCGACCCCATCCCGTAGAAAGCTAACTCGCTAAAAAACGCTTACCAGAAAAAATAAT